CTAGCACGCGCCTGTAATTCCGGCTACTTGGAAGGCTGAGGCGGAAGGATCGCCAGAGCCTAGCAGGTCGAGGCTGCGGTGGCCGGGAGCAGCCACTGCACTCCAGTCTGGGTGACAGAGTGAGACTCCAACTCAAAAAAAAAAAAAAAAAAAAAAAAAAAAGACCAGGCCATAGCCTGTGTTAGTTTTCTATAGCTGCTGTAACAAATCACACAAACTTAATGGCGTAAAACAACACAAACTCAACATCTTACAGTTCTGTGGGTCAGAAGTCTCACACGAGTCTAACTGGACTAAAATTAAGGCATCAGCAGGGCTATCTATTCCTTTCTGCAGCTCTAGGGGAGAATTCATATCCTAGACTTTACTGCTTCAGGAAGCCACCAACATTCCTTGGCTCACGTCCCCTTCCTTCATTTTCAAAGCCAACAACAGTAGGTCGAGTTCTTCTCATATGGCATCACTTCTCTGCCTAACTAACTGCTGCCTCTTCCACTTTGAAGCACCCTTGTGATTACATTGGGTCCACCAATCCAGGAGAATCTCCCCCATTTTAAGGTCAATTTATTAGCAGCCTTAATGCCCCTTTGCCATCTAACATACTCGTAGGTTCTGGGGATTGGGACATGGACATTGTTAAGGGGAGGGGGGAATTATTTTGTCTACCATAGTATTTTGTACCAAGTAAATCAGAATCTTCAGGGGTGGGGCCCAAGCATCAGTATTTTTTAAAGCTCCCCAGATGACTCCAATGTGGCTGCCAAGTTTGAAAACCAGTGCCCTTGTTGAATATGCTGAGAGAATGTATGTAGCGTTACACTTTATATTGCCTCTCATATGCTCACATTATAAATATAGACCCCCCCCATACACGTGAAAGAATATGACATAACTACATATACAGAGAGAGAGAGAGAGAGAGAGAGAGAGAGAGAGAGAGAAAGAAAGGGAAAGCATCATGGTCACAGATTCTTTCATCTTCTCACACATTTTGCCCCCATCCGTTTTGCTTCTTCCACCATGCCTTCCCAATCTTGATCTCCATTCCAGACCCAGATGGATGCATGTGTACACAGACAAATGGGATATTTTTGCATTAGTTGCCAAAATAAGCTGGGGTTTTTCTGTGGTGGCCTCCTAGAGAGAGGACAGCTATGCTAGCGGTTTGCTAATGTGTACATTTGCTCCTCAGAGATAGGGCAGAGTCAGCCATTTTCTGTCATAGGAACTGAGAGACTCTCCAATGATAAAAAAAATTATACCCTGGCCAGAACCATAATCAGCCTTTATTCCTTTTGTTAAAGTGAAAAAAAGGCTGTTATATCTGTAGGTGTTAAGAACAGGGTTGCAGCCCCATCTGGATTTTTATTGTTAGCCGAGTATGTAATAGGGACTCAGGGACGCTGGAAAATGATACCACTTTTGTTGTGAATACCTCTATGTGATTTACTGACCTACTGAATTATTCTTTTGGTTTTCATTAAACGAGAGAAACAATAGACTAGACCATTTTAGAATCAAGTATCAAAACTTTGCTAGCAAAATACATTGTACTTAGAATATAACCGCAAAGCCAAAGGGTTGGATTTATCTTCAGTTTTGGAATCTAGTTTCCAATGTTTTCATAGATAATTAAAAAGGGCCTGACCAGCCCCAGTAATTATACTGTTTGTATGCTAGTGACCAAGTCTAACGAGGAAAAGGATCCACAGCTAAGTGAAATTCCAATGATGAGGGATTTGAGCGTCCACTGACTTGTAGGGGTGGCTGGGAGAAGCATGGAGCATTGAGCTGATGAGCTCCCTTCATGCAACCACAGGGTTTAGTGCTCTTCAGTTCAAGGTGGACTTTGTGGATGGGTGGGCACAAAGGGCTCATGACAGACCACCCAGATGCTGCTCCAGAACCAAGAATTGTGGTTCTGGTTTACTGAAAAATTTCTTTCAAGTTCATGCTCAAGGATACAAGATTTTTTTTTTTTTTAAAGAATACTAAAACAAAACGAATGGGGATTGACTTGACTTGACTGAAGTAGATGTTTTGAGACCTAATTTTGTTAGGGCTGGGCCTTAAAATCAGCAACACAAAGAACCTTAGAGGCACGATTCTGATTGATGAAATAGCACCAAGGACAAATTTCTGCTCATCATTCTCTTAATGCTCAAATATCCACACCTGGCCAATCCTATTGATCTATGAGCACTTTGCTTTGCTATCCGAAAGAATAAGATATTCTAGGTTTGCCCTTTTCCTGTCCTAACCATGGAATTGGCTGTTTCTTTAAGGATTCCTGGTTCCTTTCACTGGGAAATGGTGCTTAGAAATCAAGATCTCAGTGTATCCTATACCAATTATCTCTGGAGTGTCATTGCTTTTAGGGCCTTCATCTTGCTTCTTGATCCTTTATAGGTGACCTCGATTTTCCTCTCTCTGGAACACTTTAGGATCTTTTATTTATCCCTGATGTTCTGAAATGTTATCAGTATGCCTTGAAGTACGCATATTTTCATTCATTGTGTTGGATGCTTGGAGTCCCTTATAATCTAAACGTTCCATTCTGGGAAATTCTCTTGTCATTCCCTTCCTTCTGTTTTTGTTCATTTTCTCTTTCTGAAACTCCTGTTGGTCAGACCTCTTGGATCAATCCTCTAAGTCTCTTATTATTTTTCTGAGTTATTATTTTACGAATTGTTTTCCTAACTGATTTTAACAGTGACACTAATAGGCATACCTTTTTTTACCTTTGAGAGTTATTTCTGTGATTGGCTTTTTATTTATGAAACTAAATAGATATATATATACATGTAATATAAGCCAGGCCCTGTACTCCCCCACTCATGAATCCTTCCTCCATCTGCCCAGTTACTCCTTCTTTATTCACTCTTGGTGAGTCACCAAGTTCTGTCAGTTGTGTCTCCTAAAGATCACTAGAATTTGTCCACATTGTCTTGTTGCCACTGGCCTAGTCTGCCACTGGCCATTGTCACCTTTTGTCTGGATTCCTACAACAGCCTGATACCTTACTTTGTATCTTATTTTCTTCTCAACCTTTCTGTACCTTATATCAGTATTCTTT